TGACGGTGCGGCCAGCCGTGCTTCCCCTGGGGGGATAACAGGAACAAAATAATTTCCTGAAGATTTCCATTTTTAAGAACTTTTCGACTGAGGATGACACGCAGAGGGGATGGGGTGAAAAAATAATGCTCTCACCCCCCAAACTATACATACCACTTTGCTTTATCCATCAATAGTTTCTTCTTAATTGGTAGATTTTAGCTGTCTGAACTCTGATGCTGTTCTGGGGGAGTGTAAATATACCTGAAATAAGACTTTGACATTCCGGCATTTTAATAGAGCAGTTTCAGAGCAACAAATTTGCTGGAGGTTTCTCTGTAACATAACAGAAATGCTTTTAGTGTAATGTTAGTGGAAATAATTTCATTCCAAATGATTTCATTGCCAGGTTTATTTTTAAAGTGTTGCTCACATGAGTAAACATTTATAGGTCTAGATCCTGAAATAGCTGTAAATGTAAATGGAAACTTTAGATTTTGACTGTAGTAATCCAGTTCCCTGCATTATGAAGAACTAATAAATACATTCCAAGTGGATGCGAAAGTTAATATCCAGAATTTTATATTTCATTTTTACTGCATACTAGTTTGACATGCAGGGATTGTGAAATTTCTTCAGCAGCCCCATCAAGCTCAGGAGTGCATCTTTTATTTTTAATTGTGTACCGTTATCAGCACAGGTGGTGTTTTGTGATTTTTAGTGGCTGGGAATAAACAGAACTGAAAAAAAAACCCATTTATTAAAAAATATGTATTCTTTTTAGGTGTGAAGTTGAAAATAGATATCAGGGAAATCCACTTAAAGGAACGTGTTACTGTGAGTACTCTTGGGATTTTGTTTTGAGATATATTTTAAACTTCAAATGCATTTTATCTTATATAACAAGTTTTAATTGTCTCAGCTTCTGTTTAAAATACAGGGGATTAAGGGAATGACAAAAAATGGTTTTAAAAACCTTCAGTTTTCACAAAAGTCTTGTTTAAAGAGACTGGAAATATTCTTCTTGATAAGGTCTATGGTGTAATGATTGGATCTTTCAGAACAAACTTTTGAATGTTTTTCACATGATTTTGAAATGAAATCTGGTCTTCTGGAGAATAGTCTAAAATACATACCTAATAAGTCAAAACCAAAGCATGTCTATAGAATTTTTGTAAGTGCAAAATACTATTTTTTAAACATTCTGTTCCATGTTAGAATGGGTAAGATTTCAAAATTGCCTCATTTTCTCTGAAATGAACAGTTGGATTCCTGTGCAATTCAAGAAGATACTTTGCCAAGATTCAGATTACTTAATGGAAGCTCTCCAGCTTCTATTTGCAAATATTAGCAATCAGCATACTGGCAGGCATGGATAGATGTAATCTTAAATTACATAAAGATGTAAGCCTCAAATAGTATTTCTGTGCAACACAGAAATTATCAACATGCTGTATTTAGCAAATTGGAATTCTGCTTGCGTAGCCAAACAAGGGCACTGATGCCTTCTCATGACAGTCTCTTTGCAAGGAGGACCTAATTCGTTGCTGCCAATGGCAGGGGTGGTAAAGTGGGCGAAGAGGGGAAATAAGGCAGAACTTCACACCTTGTACAGGAGCAACCTCATGCTATATAGATTCAGTCTCACTTGGTTTTCTTCCTTGAAAATTTCTGTCTTAGTGCTTCATAGGAGTTGTGGGTAGACGTCAGAAGGTTGTCTAGCTCGTGTCTATCCAACAAGGGGTCTCCAGGAGGCAAAAAGAGAAAAATAACAACTGGTGTATGGCTTCATATTTCTTATTGCTTGGAATATCTCTGCATGGGTTTGGGAATACGTACAAGTCCTACTGTGTTTTAATAAAAAGATAGTGCGACTGATTGATGTATCCCCAAACTGGCTGTCTGCTGTTGAGTAACAGAGAGGTGATAACCCCAGCCCTAGGCAGACATGAGCATAGGAGGGCATACAGGTAGGCCAAAAACTAGTCCTGGCGTGCCTGGGCATGATGTGACCCTGAGAAGGATGGCAGCTGGGTCCATTACCGAGTATCTGCTTTGTAGAAATCCTCCCTGTACAGTCCACTGATGTAGAGAAACTTATCATGCATGGAACTTAGTCCCCTCCCAAGTGGAGATTCTATAGTCTTATTTTGTTTTGCTAGTATTCCCTTAAACATGGAGGTATTGCAGTATGGAAAAAGTAAATGTCTTGGCAGGTTTTTTACAAAGTATAGATATGAACAGTCATTCAGATTAAGGCTGGAGGCTGTTGCCTGAAAAATGTAAGCAGAATCTTTTTCCCCTCTAGACTCAACTCAAAAAGAGTCTTCTGTCCCTTTTGTGTGGGGTCATACATAGGTTGGAGTAATTTGTAAGAGCATGGTGACTCCTAGTCGTGCTCTCAGTGCAAGAAACACTTCAGCGACATCATGCCTTGCTTCGCAGAAGTTTTGTTTTGTTCCAAGACATGGGATAACTTTCTCTATGTGTTCCTTACAGATACTCTTCTCATTGACTATCAGTTCACCTTCAGCCTTTCTCAAGAGGATGATCGCTATTACACAGCAATCAACTTTGTAGCAACACCCGAAGAGGTACATTTTCTACTTTCCCTTTAAACTTCATCCTTTGGGCATATGTTTGTCATCTCTTGTCCATGGAGGTGATGAATAGTTACAGTTCTGCGAGTCTCCAGATGTAGTCTCTTAACATGGTGTGTTATGTCCAGCTCCATGAAGCAACCAGAACTTTTTGTGCTTATCTTGGCCATGCAGTTCCAAATCTTCACGTAAAATTTCATAAGGGACCACAGTTGATTCTTTACAGTTGTTCGAACAACTGCTGAGCAACTTTAGTTTTGCTTGTTGTTCACACAATGCATTGTGTCTCTATTCTTCCTGATTTATTCTATGTCCGTGACTTGTTTCGTTCTTTATTGTGCTTTCCTTGGGGAGGAGAATACTGCTTTCAGAAAATGTAAATAGTTTTTTGCTTGATGTATTTGTTTCATGTAAATAACAAATTCCAAGATTTTTTTTTCAGTGAAGATTTTCTAGGAAACAGTACAGTAAAATTGTTATCCTAAAAATGGGTTTCCCTTTTTTTTTTTCCTCCCCCAAGCAAAACAGAGACCTGGACATGTTTATCAATGCATCTAAAAACTTCAACCTCAACATTACTTGGTCCACAAGTTTTGCAGGTAAAATAAGCGTGATCTAAGTTTCTTGGTAGCTTATTTCAGTTACCAGTTTTCAAGAAATGCATATTTAATTGGGGGAAACTGTTTTTTTTTTAACCTGTGAACTTGTTCTGTAATGGTTAAAATGGTATGCAGGGGGGCAGAAGTAAAATATTGAGAACTACTGTATTTTTCTGTCTTAATAATGTATTTTGGAAACATTGAAGGTGCAAATTTTATTTTTAGTAAAGCAATATTTTGGCATACAGTGATTTTGATAATGCAATGCAGCTTAAAATAGGTAGTGTATAGTTAATTTGGTAACATTACAATTCAGGATGCTTCACCCTTTTTGTTTGACACTTAGAATATGCCTTGAAACATCTTTCTTACTATCTTTTAACATTTGAAAACAGCTGGCACGCAGGCTGGGGAGGAAATTCCAGTTGTTTCAAGAACCAATATAAAAGAATACAAGGACAGTTTCTCCAATGAGAAATTTGATTTCCGCAACAATCCAAACATCACTTTCTTTGTTTATGTCAGCAATTTCACCTGGCCGATAAAAATACAGGTAGGAGTTCCTGAAGTGTGTATAGTTGTTTAAAAATACTTTTTTCTTTCTCTCAAGCGATGCGGCAATTTGGTGTGCTTTGTGTGCTCTAAGCAGAACCAGTTCTCAGTGTAATCCTGCAGCAGACAAAGGGTTTGACATTCCTGATTAAAAGCAAAAGGGTGCATCATCTTCTGATGTTGCATCAGCCCAGTGGATCTGAAAATTCGCCGTGAAATAAAGTGGGATGCTTGCTTATTAACAGGGCTATGCCCTAATGAGGTCTGACTTTAAATGTGTAGGTATTGATGTTGAAGAAAACAAAAGCTTATATAGTGAAAAACCCAAAGCCTGGAATGAGAAAACAGACGAAATGTTCTCAGTGTCTCTGTTTAACATCTTGTTCTCTAAAGGCACGTCTTGCAGGCCATCCCCCATTCTCCTTGTGCTCTCCAAGACTGGTGGTACCTGCAGAATAAGATGAAGCTCATTCTTTCTCTTAAATCAGTCCAGTCAGTTAAGACACACGTTGCCTCAGGTGTCAGACTGGCTGTGATAAGGCCAGTGCTGAAGAAGCAGTGGATGAAGCTTGGTGGATCATGAAAACGCTCATAGATCACAGACTGCAATCACAGAAACTGCAACTGCTATGGCAGCTAATAATTCAGAGAAACCTTGCCCACCTTCTTGCTCTGGGCTAGGTCAAGAATCAACCCACAGTGTACTCAGAGTGTTACAGGCGCCCTTTGAAGGACAAAAGGAGTTCTAGGTCTGGAACAGAGATCTCACATGAGGCTCTGTATGTTTGAATTCTGCCTTTTTTAAGAAGCTTGGTGAAATGTGGGAACCCGAATTCTTCTGTCTTCGCCCTTATTCAAGCAGTTATTATGTGAAAGTTGATGATTCCACATTCATTTACTTGATATTGCAGACATACCAGTTGCACACACTCACCACAGGGATCACTTCCAACAAAGATAATGCACGTGATAATAATAAGCAAGGAAGTGAGGTCCACCTGGAAAAAAGGTCCTTAAGCTATAGTGTTATTTTTCAAGGTATTTCCTGAAATCTTTAAAAAAATTAGGAATAATTGTGAAATGTCTGCATCTCACCTTCTGGTAAAGATGGTGGATTTTAAGGACTCAGGAAACTTTGTCTTGGTGATTGCAGACTGGTAGATTTGATAGACTGACTTTGCACTGCATTTTAGTTCTTTTTAATATTACTTACAATGTTGGTAATCATTTTCCAGCTGGAGAGTTTTTACTTTACGCATCGGTAAAGTCTTAGTTCTTTGTTGAGTCCTAATTTTTAGATATGGAGGAGTTTGCAAGAGCTGCAAGGTAAAATGTTTATGTCATTGGATACTCAAGCAGCAAGTACTAAGCCTCATTGTTTTTATTTAAGATAAGTGCTGCTTTTGGTAGGGGAAGTAACATCCTGCGTATGAAGATGGGCACTTGCATAATGCTTTGTTGAAATATTTGGGCTTATCTTTTATCAAACTGGTAATCACAGGAGTCTGAAAAAAATCATATTTTATTTAACTTACAGGTTATGTTGGCTGATAGATTACTTTCCGTAATCAGTGCTGGACTGTACCTTACCCTGATTGATTTATTTGCTATTTCTTGATGCAGAACTGTGTGTTAGGACTTTGTAAATGTTTAAGAACAGTGCTGTCTCCTGTCCCTTAAGCTATCCTCTGTTTACTCCAGTCTCCATGCTACCTGTGCTTACAGTGGATTTCTGCTAGCCTTTCCTATGCCAATGTTGTCATTAAGCTTAAATGTCCCCTCCATATTCTTGTTTGGCAGCTGGGTCTCCCTTTTTCCCGGATGAATTTGGACAGGTCATATCCTCTCTCAGCCTTTAGTGTTTGTTGGCTAAAGCAAGACAAATCCACATCTGTTTTGTCCTGTGAAACAGGTTATTCAGGTTCAGTTGCCTCATTTGTTTTCCCTCTGTGCTTGCTTGTACTAATCTTGCTTGCAGAGTTTTCATCAGTCATGGAGATCAGGTCTCACCGTTGCTTTGTACAGTGGTACCTCTAAGTTCTTTATGGACCTTTCTAGGTTCTTTTATGGCAGTATTTTGCTTTGCTCCTTCTCATGGCTGCAGCAATTACTAGTCCTTATTCATTTTAATATGGACTAATACACCCTGTTCTTTCACATCCTTGGTTTCCAACTGATGAGCTCCCAGTATTGATAGCAAACATTCTTTTCAGTCCCTAATAACATCATAAAACGCTATCCCGCTGCTGTTACTGGATAATATTGTCAGTCCTGAAGATCATCTACTTGTTTTTCTGTGTGGTTCTTTTCTGTATTTTTATTGATGATCTCCTTCGACTTTGTCAGGAGATCGTGCAGTTAGCACACTTTTTTTTTGGGTCTGCGTCATTAATGAAGATATCAGTCAAAGTCTATCCAAATCTCATCCTTGAACTAACTTCTGTCCCCCTTGGCCACTATGATTCTTGAAATAATCCTCACCATCTTTATCTTGCCCAGGAATTTCCAGTGTATTGAAATCCATAATGAGTTTTGGATTAGCTCAGTTGTATTTCCTAGGTCTATACAATTAATTATTTTTCAAGACAGCAAATAGCGGGCTGGTGTATCGCAGTTTACTGTTGTCAGCTCTATTGCTTGTTGAATTCAGTTTTTCATTTACTACTTCAGTTCTTTTATTCCAAATGCGTCCTGAAACTTTGCATACTATTGAGGTCTTGGGAGCGTGAATATCTAGATTCTTCCTCCTCCTCTAAATACAATTTTTAAAATTTCCATAGTGCCACGCTCGGCTGGTAGATTGCTTTAACAGCTTGCTACCAGAGGCGTTATTTCATGTGCCATTTCTTTTGGGGTGCTGGGATGCATGCTGTCTGCTTTCACTGACTTTGAACACATGGAAATATTTGAGTTTTTTCTCCATCTTGTTTGTGTATCTTTTTATAACTGTGTTGCCATTAGACACTTTTCCCTGAACCTATGTTCAGCGTCCTTGTCCTTAATGAGGACTCTAATTTAGTTTTAGGGATGCAGCTGACTGGTTTTGATCCCTTGCCTATCCTTACAGCATACCCTCTTCCCTTTCCCTTTCTGGTCTCCCTTACTTGTATGGCTGAAGCATCTCTTGATATTGTGTTTATGGTTTGCTGAGGTCTAGCACAGCTTGACATTTCGCAGTTCTTATTATATCTCTGTACTACTTTCTGACTTCTTGCTAATGAATCCTTTCCTCTCCATAACATGTAGACTTTTTAATTGTTCCTAATGTCCTTTTTGAGGTTAGTTCCGAGGATACAGCTTTCAAATAGTTTTGCATCTTTGACCTGAGAGGAATACTTAAATGGTTGCTTTCCCATTCCTTATCTCCTTAGTCCACTTGATTTTACTGTCTTATTTAATTTCTCATATTTAAAAAGAGTGAATTTTGATTCTCTTAAAACACTTGCCTCGTTTATCCTTAATTTAATACGAATTTGCTTGTGTGCAGTCAATCCAAGGTAATATCACCAGCTCCTTTTACTTGCCAAAATAAAGTCTAAAATAACAACAGCTCTTATGTGTTGAGGGAACCTTTTTGTGAAGAAGTCTGGCAGCGATATTGTGTCCAGGAATATGTGGTCCTTATGATTTCTATTAGCTTGCTTTTCAGTTCATAGCTAAGAAAATTTTTTCCCAAAATTGATGTTTTTCCGTCATCTTTCTCTGAGTACCTATTGGTGTTGAATGTCTCGGTCTTTTCTCATGTTTGCAATAGCCATGCTTCATTACTTTTCTATGGCTTTGTTGTCCTTCTCCAGGAAGCCCACCTGCAACTCCTTTCACTGGAGATCTCGTTGTGACTCAACATAGCATTCCTCCCTCATGTCTTGCAGCAATGCAGCAGCATTGCTTATCCGAGTGTGAGATAAAAACAGTTTCTTCTGCATCCTTTAACAACCATTGGAGACTCAAGTCTGCATTTTACACTCCTAAATTTGAAAACCAGCACGGTAGTCTTCACAGCATCCCAGAGTGGTTGAGGTTGGAAGGGACCTCTGGGGGTCATCTGGTCCAACCTCCTGCACAAACAGGGCCACCTAGAGCAAGTAGCCCAGGACCACATCCAGGCAGCTTTTGAATATTTCAAAGGATGAAGATTCCACAACCTCTTTGGGCATCCTGTGCCAGTGCTTGGTC